AGAAGAAAAAAACAAAATCTCGTTTATATTTAATTGTTGAATGACAAAAATACCTTTATTTCGATTATGTGCATTCTGGGTCGGTAGTTTGGCTCCCATGCCGGGGTTCTGTTAAAGGTGTCGGCGCTGGACGGTGGGAAGTGGCTAGACAGGGGGCATCGGTTGGATGGCGGGGCGGTTGAGCGGGTGGGCGTTGGGAGGTTGTAGCTAGGGTTGTAGAAAGGAAGTGGGAGATTAGGATTTTATAGGTAGAAGCTAAAGAGTATATTTGTCCATAAAAAATATTTATTAATTAGTATTAATTACGAATTTTAATTAGATATTATGATTTTTAATATTATTTTGGTAAAAAAAACTTGTTAGGTCATATATTGGAAATCTCTTTATTTTTCTTATAAATCAAGGACATAAGTAGAACAGATGTTAGGGTGGGCTAAAAAATGAGATATACCAGTACTTTTTTAGATAAATTCTACACATAAAATGTAATTTTCAAATTTGGGATAGTTGGGACTGATCAGGCTTATTCAGCCCCCCCCCCCCCCCCCCCCCCCTTCCTCATGTGTTATAAGTCAATTTTATGACATAAAGCATGCCTAGAATTAGCTAGCCTCGTGTCTTCTTTTCTTTTAGGTGGAGGAACAATTACAAAGCGTCTGTTTAGTATGCTAAATTATATCATAATCACATAACTAAAGTTGTAGTTACTCTTCTGAATGAATTGATTGCAATTATTGTTGATACTTTTTAACTATTGTCATACATAATATGTAATTATGTAGTATAACTTTATCTTTATTTTATTACAAAAATATACTAGATATACAATTTGTTCATAATTCATGAGATTCAGCCAATTCAGATCAGTCACTTCAATTAAAAAAATTAATTTTAAAAAATTCAACAATCGTAGTGTTACTAAACCAACTATCAGTCACATTACTATTACTATGACTATAAAAATTAGAAGATTGTTATTTTTGGCGATCCTTATTTCTTTCGTTTCAGTCTTCTAGTTCCAACACTTCAGTTTTGTCATTTAAGATAACTTTTTCAGCGAAAATCAAATGAAAACGTTACAGATATACGGAGTGATAAGTGGTTAGAGATGCCGAGAGTTGGGCTAGAACTTTGGAACCAAGAACTGGAGAACCGAACCGGATCGAACCGTTATGACCCGGTTCGGTTCTCGGTTTCTGAAAAAAATATGCACCAGGAACCGTTATATATAATATTTAAAATTATACTCCGTATATATTTATTATGAGTATATATGTTTTAATGTATATTTACTTATTTGTTTTTTATGTTACATTCAATATTTTAGTTTAGTTATTTAACTATTTAAAACTATGATTCACTTCAATCAGTTTTCTTAGGCTTCTTAGGCCTCTCATTAGGTCCAAACTCCAGCGGGTTGGAACTCGGAATGTTCAAAGTATTTAAAATTATTATTCTTTTTAACTAGTTCAACATTTCTATTGTAATTTCAAACGTTGAATGTCTTTTTGACAAAAATTTAGTCGGGATTTGTAAGATTTTTTTCAAAAACTAGGAACCGTTAAATGACAAGAACCGAATAGTTAAGAACGGTTCGGTTCCGTATCGGTTCTATAAAATAATTTATGAAAACTGAACCATTAGTAAAATTTCATATTTTCGGTTCCACATATTTTTCCTAGGAATCGAACCAGTCCCAGGTCTAACCGAGAGTAACATAACATACTCCGTATAATCGAATGCTTAAAACAAAGGGAAAACTGTCAAATAGGTCCTCAAACTTTCATAAAAAGGTCAATTAAGTCCTTTTATAGGAGGTTCTGTCCGGCCGTCGCGATTTGGGGAAGTTCCCGATGGAATTTTTTGATAAAATTTTTTGAGTATCGATCTTATTCATCAAGTCTAGTTTACTCATACCAAATTTCAGCTAAAAATTCAATCGGGAGCACATTCAAATTAATTCGAGAACGCAAAAATGCGCAGTTATCTTCGAGAATTAATTTGAATGTGTTCCCGATTAAATTTTTAGCTAAAATTTGGTATGAGTAAAATAGGCTTGATGAATAAGATGTTCAAAAAATTTCATCAAAAAATTTCACCGGGAACCGCCCCAAATCGCGACGACCGGACAAAGTCTCTTATAGAAGGACTTAATTGACTTTTTATGAAAGTTCGAGGACCTATTTAACAGTTTCCCTAAAAAACTTTCCTCGCTTTTGGCCGTCATTCTCACTTAACCAGTTTTCATACACTTCGTATTTTTCATTATTATCTACTCCGTACTACGTAATAATCAACTGGAAGTTAATCGCCAGCTAAGCTAATCATGATTCACGTTCTTTTCACTGGAATCCCGGGAAAAAAAAATAAGGATAAAAAGTAAAGAACAGTTGTTTTTTTCTGGTGATTTTACTTTGAAAAATATAATTAAAATGTATGGTTCAACTTTTTATTGTATACTACGTGTCTATGTATGGTTGGAGATGAGAATGATTATCAGGTGTTAGATTTGAGAGTTGAGTATTATGTGAAGTAGTGCATTATCATCAATCACAAAATACAATGACATTTGTGTAAATAATCTAAACTTTCCATGCACAATTGAACTTTGTAGGGATAAGGGTCAGATAGGGCCTCAAACTCGAAAAAAAATGTCAAATAAGGTCATATTTCGGATGCTCTGTCTGGCCGACGCCATTTGGGGCGGTTCCCGATGCAATTTTTTGATGCAATTTTTTGAGCATCTTCCTCATTAAGTCTAGTTTACCCATACCAAATTTCAGCTAAAAATTCAACCGGGAAGGTAGTCAAATAATTTTCCGAAATGTACGGCGTTGTTTAACTTCACAGTTATCTTCAAAAATTCATTTGACTACCTTCCCGGTTGAGTTTTTAGCTGAAATTTGGTATGGATAAACTAGACTTAATGAGGAAGATGCTCAAAAAATTTCATCAAAAAATTCCATCGGGAACCGCCCCAAATGGCGTCGGCCAGACAGAGCATCCGAAATATGACCTTATTTGACATTTTTTTTCGAGTTCGAGGCCCTATCTGACCCTTATCCCAACTTTGTATTATTTTAACTTTACCTAGCACCACCATGAATCATAATATCATATTTTGCATTATTTCGGATCAATCTCATTTTTCAGAGGAAAAAATAACAACAGTAACAATTATTGTGCTAGTAAGAGTAACACGCAGTAACACACTTTGGATTAGATCACAGTTCCAATCCCAATTATATTAAGATTCATGTCATTTCCAATTATATAAAATTACTAGTGACACTAAAATCACTAACAATACCAATTACCAACCCTATGGGATCACACAAACTCTGCCACTGAACGCACATGAGTAATTAATCAATGACGAAATTGACACAAATGATTTCTAGCATTTTACAAAAATAATAGCTACTCAAAAAGTTCACAATAATAATTTAACTAGTTAATTATTTCACAAAAATGAATCAAGAGTTAATGGTGTCACCTTTTCCCTTTATTTTTTTTGGAGAAATTAACACCAATACTCCCTACTATTTTACAAAAATAATTCCTATTAGAATCAAAATTGCAAATAGTAATCCCAACTACTTAATTATTTATCAAAAATACTGGGAGCTAACAGTGTTAACTTTTGTATTAATATTATTTAAGATTATAAATACAATGAAGCAAAAAAATAAGCATTAACAATTTTTTTTAGTTTAATCTCATTTATACTGTTAATTTAATTTAATATTCAATATTTTTCATAATTTTTAATAGAATTTTGAATTAAATATTGTTTCAGAGTTGAAATATTTCTAATAGATTTTATAGAGGTTTCAAATTAAAGTAGAAATATTTCAATTAAAATTTATGAAAACGTTGAATATTAAATTAAATTTATAGTACAAATAAGATTAAACTCAAATAAAATATTGTTAATGCTTATTTATATTTTTTCTTTGTTATCCTTAAAATTTAAAAACGTATTAACTCAAAAGTTAACATTGTTAGTTCCCGGTTTATTTTTGTGAAACAGTTAACTAGCTGGAATAATTGTTGTGAACTTTTTTGTTGTGGATATTTTTGTAAAATACATATGTAAAATTAAAGCAGGGACTATTGACGTTAATTTCACCGAAAGACTAAATGAAAACGTTCACATCGTTAACTTCCGATTTATTTTGGTGAAACGATTAGCTTGTCGTGAACTTTTCCAGTAGAAATTATTTTTGTAAAATGTGTAAATGTAGGGATCCCAAAAATCAATTTAACTCGCCCCCTCTCTTATACGTAGTACTTTTTTTAATAAACGCCCCCTCTCTTATACTCCGTATAAGAAAAGGCTCTTGTTTAAATGTTCTCAAAAACCATTCCAAATACTCGTAATACAACAGAGGATTGTTTTAACCTTCTGTATAATTCAAACATTTGCAGGCCATATTTTACATTCGTACACTATCAACAACCGAGACTTTACCAACTTGTAAACACATCAGTGCTTACTTTACACCCTGAATTGAGTACACTATGATAAAATACTACATTGGCCGAAAATTGATAAGGGGAAATATACTAGAGAATCTTTTTACCTCACTCTTAAATAACAATCAATCCTCTTTAATGCAACTCCGTAAATTAAGAAAAGTACTCCGTATAGGAATATTTGCGGTGGAGGTTTGTATGTATATGTGTGTAATAAACAGTGTACATTACAAAAAAAAGCCATCACATTGCCTTCCTTCCGAATGTTCAGACTCCGTTTGGTAATACCAAAATCGGCTGATTCAATTGAAGTTTACGAAATTTCAGTTGAAGTGGCTAAATTGGTTGATTTTGTTGATTTATGAAAAAATTATATTTAAAATGTATTTTATTAATAAAATAAAGATAAAAAATATGTAAAATAGCTAAAATGGTCTTTTACGGTAACTTTAGCCAATAAAACTAAAAAAATAACTTTAATCTTACATTTTCATATTATTCAACAATTCTGCACGCAAAATCGAAAGGTACATATTTGGTGAAAAAGTTGGCTGATAAGTTTGATAAACCGAAAAATAAGATTACAAACGGGTTCTCATTTTCTACATTCCCCTCGTACTTCATCAACTTCTAGAGCACTAAGGATAGGGAACTATCAAGTCCCTCAGAAGTTTTTGAGATTAACTATAAAATTAATGCACTATATTTGTATAAATATTTGTAACAAAAAAGCGAGTTTGTGTTGAAAATTAAGAGTAGAATTTGTAGTCTTTGACTTGTAAGATGATATTCCGTAGCCCGCCAATAGGTGCCAAAACCATCAATAGAACTCCCAGAATAATGCAGATCTGCAATCAATGAGCGGGCATGAATGATGAATGAATTCATAACCGAAGCCTTGATTTAGGGTCAAATTACTAGTGCACATACCCAATTTGTGATCCAAGAAAGACTGTATTTCTTCGGCTTGCAAACGGCTAGCCACATCACACATGGGACCTGCAAAACACAGGCTAACATTATAATGCATGGTATCCTATAATTATATACTTCGTACTATATATTTATATACTCCCTCCGTCCATTTTACTTTGTCAACTTTCCCTTTTTGGTTTCTTATTAAAGCAACTAATTTATGGTTCTGTACATTTTTTTCTCCTCTAAACAAACCTCAACCACACAGTTTTTTTGACCGGCTATACCAGCCATATGGCCCAATACTATCCTAGTGAAACGAAGAGTACGGTGTGTGACTATGTGCATTGCAGCAGCAGCAGCTTACGAAGTATGTTGTCGGGGCAGAAGCAAATCCTCCAACAAATCCAATCAGCCTACCAAAGAAAGGAAATGCGACTCCAATAAACATTGTGATTGCTGCAACCACGAATTAATTAAGGTTAATTAACTGTACAACTCAACTAGTTGAGGACTTGAGGTTATTATTCAGAATGTGTCCGGAGTACTCCAGAGTGGAATTTGTCCTACGTACCCACGTATATGTTCCTGGTAATGAAACGCAGTTGCCAAGATATCTTGAACTTCAGTTTCTTAACCAGCAACGACTCCAGCATGTCAAAGACGGGCATCGCATAGATCTGCCGCATGAAAATAGGCACAAAAAGGATTGATATTGCTTGATGCAGTTAACGAATAAGTAGACAATGAGAGTGTATATACAGTGTTGTTACCTGATAACTTCCAATGACATGAACAACAACAAAGAGGTTGGCCATAGCAACGAGCCAGGTAGGCTTCTGCAAGGACATCAGAATGTTGTCTTCCACTACATTTCCAAACACCCAGTAGCCGATGAAGGCAACGGGGAAGTAGCACAAGGCCACAACGATATAAGCAACAAGCACACCCTTCCACATGGGTCCCTTGGATGGGGTTTCAGATGTGGAAGGGATACTGGCTTGAATCTCCAACACCACGTTGTGACCTGCAAAAGCAAAAGCCACATCACCCAACCCACTTAGGAAGTTGAAAACAGTGCCGCTAGTGGTCGAAGCTATGTAGCTGTAATCCACATTCGGTTGCACGCCCCTGTCTACGGAAGCCCCCCAAGCAATAGTCGAGTAACTCAATGACATAACTGCTGCTGCTAGAGACACCCCGAAGATGGAGTTAAAGTTGGGGAGGTGGGAGAGGATGAAGTGGACAGAACCGAAGATCATGATGAAGTAGGAGACTTTGATGTTTTTACAGTCTTTGCAAACCAAGTCATGGAACTTCTTAAGGGATTTTCCTCCAGTAACCATGTACACGATATCCACTGCGACCATAACCACCAGCTGTTGTGGAACGACGATCCATAGTCCCAACTTTTCACCAAAAGCGTGCTGCCCGAGCTCATGGTATCTGTCAAAACGCTTTCCTGGAACCATCTCGTGCATCTGAACCATTTGCCACAATGTGTATAGAGTGATTATCCATGACATCACCATCATGGCCACACCAGGTCCCCTGAAATTTATTAATGATTAATACTTCCTCAATCAACATATCTAGGCGGTTCCAAATCGAACCGTAAAAAGAGCTAAACAAGAGGTTTCTGGTTTCAAATTTTCGGCAATCGGAACTGAATCAATCCTAAATCAATTCTAGAACCAAAGAACCCTTAAGAACTATAGGTTCTAAACAGGCCCTTGTCTCACGGTTCCTGTTAAAAAATGAGAGTTCCTGTTCTGTTATAAATGGAACCCCTGAACAGGTCTACCTCCTCATATTATGAGGCCTAAAACAGTTCACAGGAAATTGACAGTAGATAAACATAATTCTCTCCCAATGTACGCCAAAAACCGAATTCGAATATGATAAAAAAAATGACATGCAGTTGAATCAGAGAATAAACAATTAGGGATTGTAAAGTATGATTTTTTATGTAGTACTTCGTATTACTTTTATGCATTCACTTTTGTGTAATGTGCAGAAACAGAGATGCATACCATCCAAGCTGAGACATGGCATAAGGAAGGCCGAGGACACCAGCGCCAACCATGGCAGTAACATTGTGGAAAGAGGAATACCACCATTTGGCATTCCTTGAAGAGGTCATCGGGAGCCAGGCATTAATTGCTATCTCCTCTGCAGTTAGTTGAAATGTCGGCACCTGTATGTCAATAAGAATTAGTTAACACAAACTCGGGCAATGCAGCTAGATCTGATGAAGAAATAATAGTATCTTATATGAATTGCAAAGATAATCGAGACAGACAAATCGGTGACTGTGGAAAATTTAGGAAGCATATAATTAATTAGTTATACATCACGCACAGGCTTGACGATGCCGGTGAGCTTGGAGACGTCCGTATCCATCGTTTTATCTGAGAATCCGATCAAATCTTTCTGCCCCATGTATATCAATGAAAATTAGTTAAACACAAACTCATGCAATGCAGCAAGATCTGATGAAGAAATAATACTCCGTATAGTAGCATCTTATACGAATTGCAATGATGATCGAGACAGACGAATCAGTTACTATGGAAACTTTAGGAAGCACAAAAGTATACATCACGTACAGGCTGGAAGCTGCTGGTGAGGTCGACGCCGTATTTAGCCATCATTGTAGCTGTGAATCCGATCCGGTCTTCCTGCTTAGTTATTGTCTCTGCCTCACTGCCTGCACTCGGTGCGGTTTTAATGGCCGCGGCCGCCGCGCCTTTATCGGTGGCAGTCATTTTGAACAGAGTTGTAATTTTCCCGGCAAAACGAGCAAGGACAGAGAGGGCCTTAAATAAAACGAATCATGAGTTAAATGGGCGCCGGAGATGGAGAAAATGAAGAGGGTGAGATGGTAATCGTTTTAGCTTTGTTGACTTAACTCCAAAAGTCTCTTGACTTACACCTGGATCCCGTTTTAGTGCATGTCCCGTTTTTACACTTGCACACTTACACCTGGATCCCGTTTTTACCTACTCCGTAAATATCTACGTTAGGACTGATGTATTTTGTACTCCCTCCCTATTTACCTGGATCCCGTATAAAATCTTGATAAAAATTTGATACTTCCTCGTTCACTATTCATTAGTCAACTTAGGTCATTCATAATCTTTTACTTTATATATTAAATTTTTATCAAATTGAACTTTTCTTGATCAGGCTTTGAAGCGGTTTTAATGTAGTTTCTGAATATGTAAATTTTATTTACTAAAAATAAGCGGAGTGTGAACAGGGATCGAGTTGCTTTATCGTCCGTCAAACATCGTAAACCGAACGGGAACATTCCAACGGGACGGAGGTAGTATATAAATTACTCTGTAAGAGATTAAGGGAGTGTTTTTCTTTGCTTAAAAAAAGTGCTTTGGAGCTTTTAGATTTAAAAAAAGCCAAAAAAGTGTTTGGTAATCCTAACTTTTGCTTAAAAAAAGTGCTTTAAAGTCAAAATCTAAAAGCTAGAGCATACCAACTTCTAATAGCTTCTAGGTAAACTTGTAATTACCTCCAACTTTATGACTAATAATAATGGCAAATAAATCCCCTAACCCCCCAATTTTATTCGTATATCCTACCCTATGTCCCAAAGTTTGAAGGGTGATTTTGTACTTTTGAAAAAATTATTCCATCATAATCACTTTTTTTATCAAACACTCCAACTTTTACATTTTAATTAAAATCACTTCTATTCTCAAACACTACCAACTTTTACTACAAATCACTTTTCCAATAATCTATTAAAAAAATCACTTTTAAAAAGCACAAGCAATCGCAAACACTCCCTAAGAGTGATTTGTTTTGATCATGTGAATAGGAAATGTATTTCACAAAATGGGACTGAGGGAGTAATTTATTGTTATTTTGATTTCTTTTTATTTCAGTTTTTTTTATTATTTTTATTCTCCTTTTTCTTCCTTTTTTCTCTTTTTCGTCATCTTAGATGTCATTTTTTCTTTGTTCCTTACTTCCTTTTCCCATCGGTTTGTGACTTGTTGTTTTTTTTTCTTCTTACTTTTCTCCCTTTCAGCTAATTTTTTATCACATCTATCCATTTTTCTGTAAAGAGCATATGTCATTTTTTCCTTTTTTTTTTTTCTTTTCCCTGATATTCTAATTTTTCTTCATATTTTTTATTTTATTTTTTCACAAAGAGTTCTTCCCATGATTGATCGAATTAATGGGTGAACTTACTTAGAAAAATACTAGGTTGCAATAAGGAGAAGCAATATATTGATTGTGGAATCAAGATACTAAGAAGAAGAAAGACAAAAGAAGAAAAAACTCAAAAACTAACAAGATGAAAAAGGAGAGAAACTGGAAATAAAAAAAAAAATATAAAAAGTAGAATGGAAAAAAGATTTTTTATAAAAAGAGAATAATTAAGAAGAGAAATACATAAAGGGAAAAGAATATAATATGAGAAGAAGAAGAAGAAAATGGTAAAAGTATTTGTCCTTCAAGGGAATTAAGTTTACATATAGGGGTGGAGGTATGTGTTAATCAACGAGGCCTTGGCCCCTTCCAACTGTTTTATTTCACTAATTTTTACCTAGTAAAATTTTTAGGCATATTACAGCATATTTTATATGTATCCAAACTACTTCTCAAACTATAATTGCATTATTACTTGCTTAAATGATAGCTCAGTGGCTTCGTATGTCTATCGCAAATGGAATTTCAATGGAGTGTGATGGTAGATTGGTAGTAATTAGTATAGAGTAACAATTCTCCAATCGCCTCATGATGAAATGATTTGTTTGTAATTTACTTTATTTTCTTTTTCTTTGCGGTGTGCAAAAACAATGCTTCGGAGTAGTGGACACGAAAAGTAACCCGACATTACACAGACTAAGGAGGTGTTTACTTCGCTGCTAAAGTCACATTTAGTAAGACATGTGAACTAAACACGCAAATTATTTAAAAAACTGCTTACTGATCAAAAGAGGTGCTTAAAGTGCCGCTTACTAAGCATATCACTTTTCCATGTATTAATTAAGCGGTCACTTTAAGCTTTTTCAGTTTTCGAATTTATCCTTACACTTACCTCTTGCCTTTACCCTATTGTTACTTTTCTACCCGCTACCCCGCTACCCACCCACCCCTACTCTTACCCCCTGCCTACCCCTAATCCCTTCCTCCACCCCACCCCACTTGTATCCCTTTACACTACCCTGCCCCTTTACCCCTATCACCTGCCCCCACCCTGACCCCCACTCGTATCCCATTACCCTTCCCCGACCTTACCCCTTTACCCCTACCACCTGCCCCACCCCCTAACCCTCACTCATCTTACCCACCTAACCCTACCTCTGACCCCTTACTCACGACCACCCACTTGTACCCCTTTACTCTACCCCAATCCTATCCCTTTAACCTCTACCACCTGCCCCTACCTTGACCCCACCCCTACCCCACTCCTACCCCACCCCACCCCTAGACCTTACCACCATAACCCCCGACCATATCATTATCCTACCCCCACCCCCTTACCTACCCTACCCTTCACCCCCCTACCACCTTCCCCTACCTCGACCCCACACTCGACTTACCCCACCCCCACCCGTAGCTCTTACCATTACCCTTTTATCCCATACCACCTGCCCCTACCTCAAACCCTCCCCTACGGTAAGGAGTTAGGGGTATGGATATGAGGGGAGTAGGGGTAGATGGTGTTAGGGTAGGGGTAGGGGTGGAGGGATGGGGGTATAAGCGGGGTAGCGTTAGGGGTATGGGTACGCGTACGAGGTGAGCCCCACATATTATCTTATATACTTGTGTTCATGAATGTTTGTGTGTCTATATATGTATATGGTTATTTTGTACATTTTAATGTTAAATGGTGTTTTGAATCCTTTGAAGTAAACATGAGAATATAACACCGCTTATTTTATGCTCCGCTTATTAGCACGAGTCTTAATAAGCACTGTTTAGTAACCTGTGAAGTAAATATTGTTGGGTGTGTTTCGGAAAATAAAGAAAAATTAATTAAAATAAGTTAATTAAAATGACAAAGAAAACAAGAAAGGAGATGGAGCAGAAATTTGTCAAAGCTCGTGCTACGCACGATGTCCTTAAAACGTATTTGTTGCCTCCCACGGTGCTAGGAGCGTTGCAACAATAGTTTCCCAGGATACGATGACAACGAACTAATGTTTGAGCACACAAACAAGAGTTCCAACGAACGAGAACAAAGTATGAACACTCAGAAATTTTCAGAAGGACTGGAGGTGTTTTTAGCTCTAAAATACGTGAAGGATGTGTATAAACTTGTGTGTTGTTGTAAATCACCTGCCAGCCATTATATAGGAGGATTTGTTGTGTGAAAATAGTGAGTTAATGGACCTGAACGTTGGACATCAATGACCAGTCCGTTGGGCATTGAATCGTCCATGAACTGTCCATTTAACGCTGCATTAAAAGATATAAACGTTGGGCATTTATTGCTGTAACGGTTCAGAAGCCATCAGAAGACCCCTACGTAGTTCTGCCCGAAGGCCATCAGAACTGGAGCAGTTCTGATGCGCGATCATCAGAACCGGAGCATCTCTGCCCGAAGGCCATCAGAACTGGAGCAGTTCTGATGCGCGGTCATCAGAACCGGAGCATCTCTGCCCGAAGGCCATCAGAACTGGAGCAGTTCTGATGCGCGGTCATCAGAACCGGAGCACCTCTGGTCGTGGCCTTCTGCCCGGAGCAATTCTGCTAACTGGGAAAAAATATACGTTTCGGGAAGAAAACAAAAATTACCCGTATCTCTTGAGAGATGGATTTTTGGACGACATTCGTGTCCGCAGGTCGCCCGCGCACGCAAGTCGCGGTTTTTCTTCTCCGAATTCGGGATTTGATTTGCACCCCCCCCCCCCCCCCTGCGCGCGTGGAGAGAGCCTTTACCCTTAAGAATCTTAACTCCATAAGGGGGGAGTCCCTTTATAAAGGGTTGCAAATCCCTTGGGTTTTCCGGTGTGGGAAATTAACACTAGAAACCCATCCTTTTTCCCAGTTTTTCCATTCTAACGAGTAAACTTCGAAAAGCGATTTCTCATTCACCCGTTATCCGTTTTGAGCGTACCATATATCGAATTGTAGCCCTTAACAAGGACAATCCGAAACCACTTTGACCCGACCCAAGTCGGAAGTGGACCCCACTCAAAAAATTGCCCCAAAATAGCCATTTAATGCAATTTTTAACACATTTTTCCAACAATCCCCCACATGAATGAAAATTGATTTTCGAGACTTAAAAAGACATGAAGATAGGAGGACACGTTGTGTTCACCGGATGATCCTTGTATACGGAGAGGTAGGTTTAATCCTTTGAACCTTCCGCTGTAAAGACTCATTTATTTACTGGCTGTCTAGTAGACTCGATGTCTTTGAACTATACTGCCGTCGTGTAAACATTGACTTATCTTTACACAAGAACCTTCCAACTTTGTTCCGTTCTCATGGGTGTGCCCGTTTTGGCCATGGGTCACCGTCCTGGTTCTGCAAGAGTTTCTAAAGAACTGAGCCTTTACAGTTCTCCTTTGAAGCGGCCCTCTTCTCTCTCACATAGGTGATTCTTTCACGAGTATCCCGCATACTCTTCCAATGTTATCGAGTAGATCAACATTTTAGAATCATTAAAGCAAACGTTTTTGCTAACCTCGTGCGGGAGTCACTGTTTCAACGAGGAGTGGGTAGGAGTCCGGGACCCCCACAGTGACCATCCTTCGCTCTATAATTTAGTTGTCCCATTTGAACCTAGGAACAACTAGGTTGGGTATCCACTATAGAACTTTCCAATTCACGGGCTTTAATCCCATTCCTCGCATCAACTTCTCCAACAATTCTCTATCCAATGTCTTGGTTAGCGGATCCGCTATGTTAT